CTCGATTGCATAAAATTGTAATTAAGTCTTGAGTAATCTATCGATACGCGAAACGTGGAAATAGGATACCATTGTTCTTATCTCGCAGATTTCTCAAGTTCAGTTTAAAAAATGTCATCTATACCTCATAAAAATAAATCGAATATTTCCAAATTTTTGGAGTGCAAAGGTCTGAATCTACGAAGCTTCACTGATGAAAATTACCCTAAACTGTCAATTGTCTACCCCGGGCACGAATTTCTATTCCGACGCTATTTAATCGTTCATAAATATAGTATCTATCTGCTTCGAGGGTAGCTTCCCGATAACGTACAAGCAGCCGGTGTAAAGCTTGACGTTGCCGCGCGCGACGTCATACTCGCAGCCGGGTTTGGTGTACATGTAGGTCTGCACGCAGTATCTGTGGTCCCTGGGGTCGCTCTTGATCTTCCCCGGCTGCTGGCAGCGGATGTGCGTCAGGCCGCTGCTCATCTCGTTCTCGACGGTGTACTTGCAGACGGACTGCTCCTTGTACCTCTCCAAACGAATGGCCGGCAGCTCGTGCGGGATCTCCTGGAACACCTCGGAATCATCCGTGTCCACCAAGCTCCTCCTCTTGCTCCTGTCGGAGGCGCCATGACGGTGGCGGTGTTTCGACCCAGTCGCTCCCCGACTCTCAGTTTCGTTCGACTCGTCGAAACGCTCGATGGGAAAGCTCTCCAGGAAACTGCCCAGCGTCTCGTTTTCCACCGACGAGTCGGGCTTGCTCGCTTCATCGGAGTCCTGGTACGAGTGTCTGAGCACCCACTGGTCCAGGTGGTGGTTGCCGCGGTGCCGATGACGCGAGTGACGCCTGGCCGGTCTCCTGGACGAAACGAGGCCGTCCAGCAGCGGCCCGCTGCCGCTGAAGTCGGCGAGCACCGCGGAGAAGAGGAGGTTCAGCAGGACAATGTAAAGCGACATCGCTCGGAGCTTCCTCGATGAACCCTTGTCTCTCTGCTCGTCTGCTCGCCTCCCACTTGTTTATCAAAGCTGACCGATACAAAGGCGCCGGTAATTGTCTCCGCTCCCTCTTGCGGCGTGCCTTCTTCCAGCGGCCTTAGAGTACCTCGAGACGAACGGTCCGGCACACGTATCACAGGATCTCGAGCACAAAACGGCAATTACGGAGTCTCCGGTCGCTTTGACTCGATGGTTGATGGCTATCGAATCGGATTTCTTCGTTGAAGGAGAGATCGAAGGATGATCTCTGGAGAGTACGAGGTATACCGGCAGGTTGCAGGGTTGCACCGCGAGTACCTGAGAGGTGGCAGTTGTTGGCGGTGCTACGGTTTGTTGAAAACTGAGTGTCCGGTAGTGCTCCGAAGGATTTTTTATCACTCCGTGTGACAGGAACGTAGGTAGTGGCCCTACCCGGGCGGAGCTTAGTGCGTGCACATCCTCTCCCACCCCGCGTGACCGCGAACGGGGCCCACAGAATCGATCGTTGGATGCTTCATCCGACAAAGCGTTTGACGTCACTGGGCCCGTTTCCTCCTGGGATGGCCGCGAGCGCGAGCGCGAGCGCGCGCGCGCGCGCGTGCCTCGATGACACCGAGAGCGAGTTCCCTTAAATATGTAATTTAGCGTTGCGTCGGGTTATCTCGATCCGCGCGGACGTCACCGCACGCGCGTACTTTTGGAGGAAGAGAAATTCGTGCCTAGCCTGCCGCGGCGTCCTCGATTCACGGGAATCGCGGAAAAACGGGGGAGGGAAACCGCCTCCGTTCGTTCGACGGGCCGCCGCGACGTCCACATCCCGGATGATGGATGCACGCGCTCTCGCACGCGCTCTCCGGTAAACACCTTTTCCTGCCGGCGTGTTCACGCACGACGGATATCTCATCGACGCGCACGCCGGGACGGGGCGTCAATTAAACAGACATTCGCCTCGCTTTTGCATTTCCGTTTTGCATTTTCGGCTGTAACTGGTTCCTCGCGCGAAGCTGTTACGGTATCGGAATGTCCGTGAACGGCGGGATCATTAACATTAACACGATCCGCGCCACGGAAATTTCGGTGTTGATTTTTTAAATAAAATGTTAAGTTGCGTTCGAGTTTCTTTTTTTAGTTTTATATGTTTTGATAGCGTTTCTTGGTGTTTTCGACGCTTTGTAACGTATGCAGCTATTCTTGACGTGTCTCTTAAAGATATTTTGTTAGAAAAATTATTAGATTTTTCACACATCTAAATTTTGCAGTGAGAAGGAAAATAAAAGATCTAAGAAATGTTATAGCATTTTTCATTTTCGCTAGGGATACTATAAAAATTAGTTGCAGTTGCTGATAGGTTACAAAACCATCTGGAGTGCTAAGGGTTAACACGTTGATTGCCGCATGATTTTATAAAGGAAAATACAGAAAATGGAGAAATATTAAACTAAATCATTCGATTGAATTGTATTATTGTTGCACGTTCTTCTAGTTGAATATCACGGAATTAGGTAGCATTATTTGCAATATAGGAATGTTTCCAAATAATCGTTTCATCGAGTGAATTGTAGTAACTCAATTTGGTTGGGGTCACCGGTGACCCGCCATTCAACGTGTTAACACAACGCATTTGCCACGAGAATTTCGAGCATTTCGTTATAGTAAGATTTATTCTTTTAAAATTTTTATTCTTTTCTTTCTTATTTCTTTTAAAATTATTATTATTATTATTTATAATAGAGGAAAGTAGTATCAGGAATAATTATTGTTTTGGTATTGCAATACTCATATTACACTATTATCTAGCTTCTCGTGTTACTGGATATTCTCATCCAATATCAATTTTCTTATTGTAATTGTTTTCAAGCAATTTGGAAGCGCCGGTCACCGGTGACCACCGTAATAGTCAACGTTAAGCATCATGAAAATCTTGGACGTTTTCATAAATATTCTTTTGCGGCGAAGAAAAGCAGCGAGAATTGTTGATCAGTTAACTGTGGAATTTAGTTGGAAAAACCTCTGGTTCTGCGCGCGGTAAAATAAAAAAATGGAGCGTGCACTCATCGAACGCAGGAGGAATAAACATAAAGTATATTTCAATGAAAGATCAAAGCGAAACAAGGAAGAATTACATGTTTATGTGGGAAAATAAAGAATTCATCGCTGAAAACAATACGATGACGCGTATACTGGTCAAACACAGTTAACTGGTTAATTTGGCGTTGCAATCCTTGGAGTATCATCGACTTCGTTGCGTTATTAACACTAGAAGCACGGTTCGATATTTCTTCTTTTTGCGATTATTAAAGCAGACGCTCATCTGGGAGTTGTAACGTTCATTAACACGTTAAATGCCGCGCGATTTCACTTTCTGCAATGAAAAAGATTTGACGAGTATACATGTCATCGTGAAGCTTGACACGATGCCAATCCTTTCAGCGATGAATTCTTCATTTTCTCACGTAAACATGTAATTCTTTGTTTCGCTTTGATCTTTCATTGAAATATACATGTTTATTCCTCCTGCGTTCGATGAGCGCACGCTCCATTTTTTTATTTTATTGCGCGCAGGACGAGAGGTTTTCCCAACTAAATTCCACAGTTAACACGTTCAGTGCCAAGTGTACATGTGGTACACGTTAATTTTTGTAACAAAATATTTCTAAGGGACACATGATCAAGAATAGCTATACGTTACACAGCACCAAAAACATCAAGAAACGATATCAAAATATATGAAATTAAAAGAACTTGAATATAACTTAATATTTTATTCAAAAAATCAGTACAGTGCATAAGGAAAATATGAACGAAATTTCCGTGGCACGGACGTGTTAACTGGTTAAATTCCTGACGATTTCGGACCAACGCAGTCCTCTCACACACTCGATACAACGACCCGGCCGAATGGCGATCAGATAAAAGTTCATCGGCCATCATCGTCATTCGTGCAGTTGGTGTTTCCAATAAAGACCTTTCACCGTCAGGATTCCCAAGAGTCAGATATTCCTATTCCTTTCTCTTTCTGCTTTTCCTTTTCGCGCCTCTTCCATTCTCTAGTAGCCCGATGATTCACCTTATCTCGTTCATCTTCCGAGGTTGCTAATGAATTCCGAGATGTACTTAATTCATTCGGGGACCCATCGAATTTAGAGTGAAACATTAATTGCCTGACGATTAACAGGCGATGTAATGATATTTACGTCACTTATAAATTAACGTAAATGTTTCTCAGAGTTTCTCTTTATCAGCAATTATAGAAATTAGAGAGACCGATGACATTCTAATTTGACACTGGAACTACCAGATGAGTCAAAACGATCAATCTCGTGTCTCTTCCGCGATTATAGCAGAGGCTACGATTTTCTCAGAAATCATTCAAGAAATTGATTTCGATAAATCAATCAAAAGAGGGTATTTTGCGAAATTAACTCGAAGAGAAGTCACACATCGAGGAACAAGGCTGTTAATTTCAATATTTCTCCAATCACATTATACAGAGAGTAATATTAACCCTTTCCACTCGAAAGTTTCTCACTTGAAATATTCTATACTTTCTAATTAGATATAGACAAGATTTTCTTTTAACCCTTTGAACTCTGTAGGCTCCAATATTGCACCAGTTCTGATATTAAATATTTCAATGAATTTTAAGGAAACTACCTTAAGATTATTAGATCTTCCAAATATAGAAAGTTTGTACTAAGGGAATTAAAGGTCTAGGACATGTTATAACATTGTTAATTTTCAGTAGGACTACTATCAAAATTGGTAAGAGTTGCTGACGTATCACAAAACTATGTGGAGTGCTAAGGGTTAATATTTCACGTACCAATGCAGTATGCAAAGGTTAATGGTAAACACCAAAATTTACTTTGTTGGATCAAATCATCTGGCGACTGGGAGTCACCTTTCAAGTGCAAAGGGTTAACAGGTGACAAAGAGAAAGAATATTCTACAGAAATGTCTTTTGAAAAAGATCACTAAGTGGTAAGAGGACATGGGCATTGAAATAAAATTGTTGCACAATGAATAACGGATCACGCTAACAATAGAACAGTTTTTATTGGATCACAGAAACAAATCGGGTGACAGGCTGCTCCTGGTAGGGAAGCTCGCGTGCGTGCCGACTTTCAGGACAGATTCCGTGGCAACCACGCAAGCTCTTCTAATGCACTCGTCCATTGGAAGCGCAGGATGATATGCTTTAAAATATGCGAGTGCGCCCAGAAACGCGTCTCCAGCACCCTGCGCATATACAATGAGCATTAGCGATGCAATCGTCGTCCTTTCAAACCGTAAATTAATTAATGACCACCAGCGTGTTCTATTGAAGAGGCCATAATCTTATATCTTATATAATAAAAATGAAATTAACACTTTGCCGCGTAAACACTTGTCAAAAGTTTCTTTATTAACTAGAAACTGAGAAGTCAAGGTTCTTAATCATTTCTACATTATCTTCGTTATTTCATATATCTAACAAAATTCGGTTGAATGTCCCAGTTTCTGTGAAGATAGTGTCACTCGAATTCGGTTGACGTGGCAAAGTGTTAATCCCATAATCCTACGATATTATATTTCAGTTTCATTTTTCTAATATTTTTAGAAGATTCATTGGATTGAAAATATAATCGAGACCGTCGCCGAAATAATGGTAGCGAACGTGTTAAGTGAATAATTTTGCCTTTGTGCTTTTCTTTGGAATATTTTTTGTGGTGAGATATCCCATAGACTAGGGAAAATAGAACAGTAAACGTACAGTAGTATCCACGGGTTGGACAGGCGTCGTAGGAACCATGGTAGCAGTTCTATTTTCCTTGGACGCGAACGCTGCTCCCATTTCTCCCAAAGTCAGGATAACTGTATTGCAGCCGTAGTCCAGAAGTTTGTCAATAGCTTCCTGTACACTTGACAATCCCAGGGGCTGCACTCCAGTCATAACTTCTGCCTAGAGTATTTATCCATTTAACACGTTCAATGCACAATTTTATAGAGCAAAATACACAAAAAAATATACTATTGAATCATTTGATTAGATTGCATTATTGTTACATGTTCATTTAGCTGAATATCACATCAGGTAGCATTGTTTATAATATAGAAATGTTTCAAACAATCGTCGTTTAATTGAATGAACTAGTAATTCAATTTTGGTCTCCGATGACCCCCATTCAACGTGTTAATTTGTAGTTGCTCAATTATATACCGTTAATTCTAGTGTGACACTGAATTATTTTCTAATTTATATCCCCTTGATTCTAGGACTTAAGGATGCCAGTCAGTGATCTCCGTACCTCTGTCTCATTAACGCAGAATATGTCGCAGAGCGACAGAATCTCTGGATCAACGTGTTCCATCGCAGGCGCTCCATTGATGATCGACAGACCTATCGCATTACATTTTATGCAGCTACAGTCATTGAATGGAAGAACGACGAGGCGTTACCAGACGCAACTAACCGTGGCCTTTATGGAGCTTTAAAGCGTGCCGCGTGGTTTCCAGGGGCGTCTCGAGTTGGCACAATAAAACTGCAGCATCTCTGATTGCCTCCGCAGCGGCGTCCACATATTTCGAGGTCAACGACGCGTTTGATCCTAACACGACCACTATGCTGTTCTCGCCTAAAAAGAATAAGCGTTTATGGGCAAATGTAAAGAGCGTTCTGTATAATCTCCGCGGAGGTGTGTAATCTAGAAACCATTATCTGAAGACGCATTTTTATGCAACAATCTGAAATGATTGAGAATGTTCTCCTACCGTTATCGGCAACGGTGATATGCGCTATCCCACTGTGCTGATTCTCCTGTATGTGAATGTGGGAAACATTCACATTCTCTTGTTTAAATATTTTTAAGTATTCCTGTGCGTACGTGTCCGAGCCTAACTGTATGAGAAACGAATTGCAGAAGGATTTTTATTTGTAATTATTTTGTTAGGAATTAACCCGTGCACTGGCAAGATCTTAAAGCAATTCAGACTTATCTTAAGGAATAAGCAAGTCATGGTAATGCAAATTGAGAAAGTAACATGTGTTTTAATTTTACATTTGTTCAAGATTGTTTTAAGGCTGTGTAATTACCTTCCTGATAGTGCAAGAGTTAATTGAATGGTTTTAGAAGAATGAAAGAGATTAAAGTATTGTACACATGCAACAATTGCGGTGGATGCACCAAGCTTTGCAGCAGTCACGCATTGATTAGCACCTTTACCACCATACTTTATTTCATACTTGCTACCAATAAGGGTTTCACCGGGTTTTGGTAAACGAGGAGAAAAGCTAAAACAAAAATACATTCTTACTACAGTGAAACAAATGTTTTGGAATCTATAACATGTATTTCTTGAAATCTACTTTGATCAGCAAAAGTATTTTTAGTATTGATATTCTTTAAAAATGAAACATGAAAGAAAGTAAAGAAATATCTTTGTTATTTATGGAATATTGCAATGATGAAAGAAACAAAGTATGAATATTTAAATATCATAAGGATCTATATCTTCTTATTTATTATAAATATTATTACTTACCAAGTAAAATCAATCATACACGAGCCAACAATAACGACTTTTGGAACCATATTTAATAGTGAATTGTAACACTACTCTGAAATCTCAAATTTGATATATTCAAATGGTTATGTCACTAACTTTTACAATGGAACTGTTTCTTCTGATGAAGAAACCCGAATTACTCGTTTTATATGAATGATTTAAACTTGCTATCTGGTTTTATCACAATTATCACATGAACCAATAATAAGTCCCAGAACTGATAAGTAACTTGTTTACTGAAGACATAACCTACGAAACTTGTATACATTATAAGAAAGTAGAAACATATATATCGAATAACAAAATAATTTAAAAGAAACAGATTTTTATTACCAGTCAATTTATTTCGAAATACATACAGTTCACCTCATCCAAAGGGTGACAGATCATTCTTACTGACCGCGCCGCAGGACGAAGACAGCAGACGACAAATCACAAGGACATGCCGAAACTGAGCCGCCATAACAATTGAGCTCAGCGCGGCCACTGGACGTCGACCCTTGCCCTATGAACTATTAAACCAAAGGCCTACAGCACTATATAAGAGCCGAATAATATATCTACAGGAATGAGAAGGAATGAGATAGTTCATTTCGGGGCGCCACTTAGCAGAGACTATCTGGTACCATTTAATTAAAAGTTTGAGCACTCTCGAGATAGGTGGCGCAACCAACCAAAGCAGAAGGAAAAACCAGGATAAATTTATGAGAGTGAAAAGAACACAGATAAAACATTCATGGTGCCAGCTAGCGGAAACAATATGGGACTATATGGCTAGTAGTTTGAGCGTTCTCGTAATAGGTGGCGCCTCTAATCATGAAAAAGGAGGGGGGATTTTTAAAAATTATCTTGAGCGCTTTTTAATAAAGTATTCCCTCGTGGGAATAGAACTTTTGAGCTTTTGAGTCATTATTGGGAGATTTACTGTTAGAAGGGTACCCAAAATTTCGAGCTTTTTTAGTTTGAGCCTATTAGTAATAGGCTCTTGAGATTTTGAGTCATTTTGTAAGAGTTATAGATTCGAGGAAGCTACGTATTTTGAGCTTTTCTTAGTTTGAGGCTTTTGATATTAGAGCTTTCGAGCTGTTGAACCATTTTTGGGAGAGTTAGAGTTCCAATGGAGCTAAAATGAGAGATTTTTTAATTTGAGCCTCACGGTATTAGAGCCTTCAAGCTTTTGAGCCATTTTTGAGAGAGTTAAAGATCCAATGGAGCTAAAAATGGAGATTTTTTTAGTTTGAGCCCCGTGGCATAAGAGCTTGCGAGCTTTTGAGCTGTTTACATGGCAGTAAATTATCCAAAAATTCGAAATATGCGAGCTTTACGTGCGGAAATTGAGCCGCCATAACAAGTGGATATTTCCGCTTGTCCCGCAACCGGATTGCCGGTTGGTGGTTTCCTAATTGGAACAGGTGAACTTAGTTTCTTATACTGCATGGACAAATCTATTATCACGTTCTACATGCATTACAAAAGATTAAAAAACTGTTTTACACTGAAAACTTGCAGTCGTGCATCCAAAAACACAAAACAAAGTTCAATATTAAAAAAGTAAGTCACTGATAAGGAAATAACATTTATAATTATACACGAATAAAATGGAACTCTACTTGAAGGAATGGGTTATGCCATCTGTCGGAGCTCAAGTGAATTAGAAAAATTTTTAAGTTTTCATTGAAATAAATTTATCTTAAAAAAATCTTTGTTATTTTAGTAAGATAATACTTTATTTAGGTATTCATATAAGTACTTTCAATTTGGAATGTAAAAAACATTGCGAATATTAAAAATGATCTAATCGTTCCAGAATGTAACATTACAATACAAACATTTCAAATTAACAATATAATAATTAAATTACTATGACAATTTCTACGTCTTAAAGAAGCTAGAATAAAAATAATTGTTCTCTTTCGTTATGTTTTGGTTTAAATGCATTTATATAAACTGAACCTATAAGAGTCTCTCTTTTTTTCAAATTAAATTTTCCTGTTAAAATTTACATTGCCATTATTCATACGAAAAATTAAGGATATATATATAAAGATACATATTTTACATTTCACTCTGATAAATTTTGTTTAGAAAATTAAAGGAATGTATTTACAAATAATCCGTATTAGATTGATGACAGCAGTACTATAACTACGTATTCCAGATTTCATTCTTGTAAACATTGCGTTTGGATTTAAGGAAGTCATTGTTTTTTCCCATAAAATCAATTCATGTATATGAATTATCGAAAGTATTTGTTTAATGGGAAAGCTTAGGCATAAAGAATTTTGCTTACGATTGGATAATATGTGATTTTCTTTGGAATCGACAGAGTATGGATACAGCAGTCTTGGTTGGTAAGTTTTTCACTCTACCATTGAAATCATTTTACATGTAGATTCAATGGAATCATTTATAAATGATGTAGTAATGTTATCGAAGTTTCTTTAATTAACAACTTGTAAATTACTTTATTTTTGGGTGAGAGGTTCGAATAATTTGATTGTAGATTAATTGTATGTCGTATCATTTATCATGACTTTATAAATTACCGAAACATTGAATCATTGAAACACATTATTATGATCCTTTACTAACAATTTCTTGATACTATCAGTAAAGCACATTTTTGTTCATGAATTGAGCAATTAAACTGTATCCGTTAAAAAATAAATAGGATAGGAGTCTTTTGCGTCTGATGTTAGGTATCTGTATTAGGTTATGGTAGAGTTGAAACATTTTTTCTTTCGTCTCTTACCAATAGAGATTTCTCGACTAAAGTATAATCATTTACCATTAAAAAGAACAATTTAATAACTATTTGTGAGTAATCAACAACTTTGTTGTGTTTTTAGTGGTTAATGGTACTAATCATTCTTTTTTTTAACAGGGCAATCCATGGTTTATTAGATAAGTGTAATGAACTTAATATTTTACCATGGAACAAGCAGATGAAGTACAGATTAATACTGTTGAAGTGCAATCTATACCTATAATAGATCTTTCCTCTTCATTGGAACCACATTCAGACAACCATGTGACAATTGTAGAAAACATTCCTGAAAATCGGGAAAATTGTTCCCAGGATTATAAGGACAATGTAATCGAAACTCCTTTAGCCACAGATGTTTGCGATCTAAATATTGCAGTTGAAGAAATTGCAGTAGAAGAGAAAGAGATCATGAAAAATGTTAATGCTGACGTAATCAACAAGTTGGACCAAGAGGTAGTTAATAATGATATACAAGAGGCAATTGAAAATAATATACCAGAGACAATTAATAATGAGACAGAAGAGGATGAGAACCAGAGTATAAATAATGTAACAGAGATCGAAGAAAAAGAACCTGTAGAAACAAGTGAAGTTAAAGACAATGAAAAGTATGTGGAGAATGAATCCATAAATGAAGAAAATATAGAAGTTTTAAATGATGATCAAGAACGTGTCACGTGTAAAGATAAAGAAACACAAAATCTTGAGGAAGATAACGTCTGTATAATTACAGATACAAGTACAGCCGATACCAGTGCTCAGTGTCAAGCATTAATTAAGTCTATTAGCCAAACTTTTGAAAGTAAGGATCAATCATTGCACGTTGCAGATACAGATGCAGATTTGACTAAACTAGTCGATGGTGATTCAGAAGTAATGGTAGTAACGGTAGAAACAGTAGACGATTCAAGTGAAACAATGGAAGAAAATATTGTTGTAACTGTACATGAAAAAGATGTTACAGTAAATCCAAGTAAAAATGATCCTACAACAAAAACGAAAGAAACTGAGGAAACCAAAATTGTGAATGAAGAATTTGATTTAATTGACTATAGTCAAGAGACTGATGGGACTATTATTGAAGTGATTTCAACAGAAGTAGTGCAATCAGAGGTTTCTGAAACATCTATTGAAGAAGAGGATAAAGAGATTTTGAAACATTCTACTTCTGAAACTGATCCTATAATTTCGACTGTTTCAAAAATTACATGTAAACCAGAAATTGTACATAATGTTAGTGTTAATGAAGATGAAATAGAAAGGAAAAGTAATGATACTGATCAAGAAAACAGTGAAGAACAAATAGAAGTACAGTCAGATAATGAAGCAAAGACTGAACATTGTGATAGCCCTAATAAAAATAATTTGGAAGAGAAACATATTAGTAATGAGACCAATGTCATCCCCACAAGTACAGATAACACGAAAGAAGAAAGTGAAGTAAATGAAATAGATAAACCAATTTCTATAACTACAAAAAGAAGTGTAATTCAAGATATATTTGATGATTGGGGTGATGAAAATGCAGAAGAAGATAATCAGTCTGTTTCTAAAGAACAAGATATTGTAGAAATTGAATTGAAAAGCTTATTAGATGATACGAAAACAACTCAAAATGTGGAAGAAGGTACAGTAATGATTGTTAAAGAGGAAATTGCTTGTATAGGGAAAGAGGCTACAGATACTGATAAAACTGTAGGATTTATTAAAGGAAATAAAGAAATGCAAATATCAAAGGAACAGTCAGATAATAATCAAACTGTCAAAAAACAACAAAACGTTAAATCGTTAAAAAAGGAATCAGTAAATTTTACAGTGTCACAAAATTTTAGTAAATCTTTAAAGAACACAACGCACGATTCTATTACGTTTAATCAAACATCATCTCAAACGAAAATTATTTCTCATGTTAATCGTGGTCGTAGCTTCAGTAGTCAAATAGCTTCACAAGCTGAAGTGACAGAGGCATTAAAGGAACGATTTCGTGAGAAACAAAAAATGGTAGAAGCACCACCTGGGCCTGACATATTCTTTGTTAAGAAACTAACTCAAAGATTATCAAGTAAATTAGGAGGTGGACCAATGAGTACTTTACCTGCACTTATACCACTGTCTCAACCTGCTGTTCCATCCACTCCTGCAGACAAGAAAACCATAGATAATGCAAATGTAGAAATTAATAAAGATATTAATATAGAAACTAACAAAGGAAGTAGTAAAGAAAGCAGTTCTGATAACAAAGAATTGTTGGCGATATTGGAAGGTGATGTAGATCCTGATTGGTCAAATTTGAAACCACCAACTTTGACAGAAGAGGGGAAGGGTCCAGTAAATATTGAAGAGACTGGTCATAATACACCACCAAAACTTGATCCTTTGGTTGAAAGAGAGTTAGCATTAAAGCAACTTTTGGAATTACCTATTACGTCTGTTAAAAAAGTTGCTTCAAGAAAGAAGAAAACATTCAAATCTGCATCTAATAAAGCTACCAAGGATATGGAAGAAAAGCCTGTTTCTGAAGTAGAAAAGGAAGTTATTAGTATTGACTTAGAAACTGATTCTACAGAACCAATTTTAAAAGATACGAGAATAGACGCTGACACATCTGCTGTAATTATTGAAACTACTCCAGAGAAGAGTATAGACTTAATTGCAAAAGAAGTGAGAGTAGATGAATCAAGATCGGGTAGAAAACGAAAACTTACAGAAAAAGCTAGAGAGCATGAAGAACAACTTAATATTGTAAAACGTCAAAAAGTATATAAAAATAAAGTTTCATTGAATAAGAAACAGTCCCAAGATAATGAAGTACAATCTGTAGCTGATGCAACTTTAATTACTGAGAATCATGAACCTAAACAGGGTACCATTCCTAATGTTACAAGTAATGAAGCTCATGTACCAATAACAAAGGAAGAGATAAATAAAGAGCTTACAAATAAAGTAGATTCAACATTGGATAAACTAGATAGCACGCCTATAAGACGTCCAAAGCAGAATCTTAATAAAAAAGGATCTCAATCTATTCCTAAAAGGAATATAGTTGTGAAGAAAATATTAAAACAAAACATGTCCTCTGGTAAAAAAGTTGCTTTAAAAGCAAAATTGAGTGCAACATCAAAAAAGTCTGGATCAAAAGTAACTTCAAAAAGTAAGCAATCAATGCAAAGTAGTTCTGGAGACTCTAAACCAAAGAAGAAGATTATTAATGAAATAGATAGATTACTCCAAGATGAAGGCGTTGTAAATTTATTATACGATGTAGAACAACCAGACAAAAAACGTCTAATCCCTATAACTAAGTCTCAAGCAAAAGTTATGGACATTCAGAAAGTACAACGTGAACTCAATTTTAGAAAGAAATTAGTACGCAATGCTGTTCTAAGATTACGTACTGCAACAACAGGTGTATCCAAAGTTTCTCCTAGGTCCAAAAGAACTTCTATACACTTAAGTGATGTGCAAACAGATAAAAAAGTTGGAGAACAAATTGTAACGGGAAAATCAAACGCCACATCTCAACAAGAATTTATTTTACCTGCAAAAATAAGAAATGCAGCAGATGCATCTGTAATAATTAGGAGACATTCGTCCAGTTCTTTTTCCAGTGCATCTGGAAGTCCTAGAGTCAGCATTGACAGTCCAGAGAAAGTTGAGGGAAGTAAAACTGATGAAGGCTCTCATTCGTTGAGATCTATGAAGCGAAGACTTTCAGATGAAGCGACAAATGCGAAAAAGAGTAAAAAGAAAACTGTTCAAAGAGCTGATACAGAAACTATAGCTGCCAATAATATTGATGATAAAGCACTTCGCCCAAAAAAGTCAGATTCCAAAAAAGGTGATAAGAATTCCAAGCAAGTTGATGCTACCGTCGTAGAAGAAACCAGTTCAGGCAAAGTTATAACACGATCGAATGGTACAACTACAGGTAAGGTAACATCGAAAAGCAAAAAAACTGCAAAGAACAAAGTTACATTTGCTAAAACAAGTGAATCAGATAACAATGAAGAATTCTCCAAAGGAGAAGATGAACTTTCAGCCTGCCTTGCAGAAGCTGTAAGTGCTCTTTCAGTAGTCAGTGCTGGAAATCGGTCTGGAAGTTCTACAGCTAATCGTAAAAGCAAAGGTGAAATCTATGATTTCAAAGTGCTAGACATGTTTTGCATTTTTTCTGTACACTTTTTTGTTTCATTGACAATATGTTTTACTAAACATGTATATGTTATACATTGCGATATTAATTGTATATTTATATTTAAAAGAGAAAGAGTACTGAACGAAAGAATATTTTTCAGTAACCGCAAACGTAACTAAAATATCGGAGTCGGATAATAACAAGACAAAAACGGAGACACGAAGTCAATTCAGTAACAAAGAGATAAACGTACGACGTCACGGTAATCTTGTACAACTAATACTCACTCCATCGTCTTCAACGAAATTAAGAAATGCTCTGACGTTACAGGTGAAATAATATTAGTTACTCATAATTACTCTTTTCAAGATAAGTATCTGAACCTCTATTAACATAATGTTTATTTCATATTTCTAGATGATGCAAGAGTTCCGTGAAACGTTATCAATCCTGGAAAGAGATGACGATTGTAGGGTTGTCCTATTAACATCTACTGGTAGCAGTTTTTGCGAAGGTCTTGAACTTTCAATGTTGTTACATACAAATAAAGAAGAACGACGACTTCGAGCTGAAGAAATGGCAGACGCCGTTAAGTATGTATTTGTTATAATTATACATTCAATACCAAATTGTAATTATTTGATTGATAGGATTAAACAGTTAATTTTTTCTGTGTAGAGACTTTATTAAGAGTTTAGCATCGTTCAATAAACCAATCGTCGCTGGAGTTCAGGGCGCTGCAGTTGGACTCGGAGTAACAATGTTACCTTTGTTCGACCTTGTGATAGCTAGTGACAAAGCAACATTTAGCACTCCTTACGGAAAATTAGGTCAGATCGCTGAAGGTGCCGCTGTTTTCACATTATCACATATATTGGGAAGTGCAATTGTAAGGGCATTAAATAAATGCTAGCCAATTACGGTAACGGTAGTTTAGCAATTAGCATTACTATTTCCATTGCAGACAAGTGAGTTACTTTTGGGTGGCAGAACTCTAACAGCTAGTGAAGCATTAAGGGCTGGTCTTGTTACACGAGTCTTATGGCCTGATAGATTTCAAGTTGAGTTATTGCCAACTTTGAAAGCTATGAGTGAACAGTCTTCACAGGTATGCGTTCTACCTTATAAGCCATTTTTAAATGAAAGACAGTAAGCTTTATAAGCAGGCCCAGAGTAAAGTAGTTCTTGAACATTTTCCATGGTTCTATTTTCAAAAACACACAAGTGCTTTTCTGGACAAGAACATCTGTAATACGTTGAGAACAAATCAGATCGTATATGACCACAAAATTCATTAGTTTTACACCGTCTTTTCTGTAAAAGAAGTAATGAAGCTATTTAGAATGTATACCAGATTCGATTCAAAATATACGTTTTTAAGCTATATAAAGGTGTACCTTAACACACTTGAAGGTCTGTGTGATAAAATCATTGTCTTCGTATGAATATTTCTGTAGCCTCCAGTAGTGAGAGTTTGGACACGTACAGTGTAATGTTACATTATATGGTATTAAATAGGAATGACTAGTATCGCTTTTACCATGAACTTGTATAGCTTCATCCTTATGCGTACATACATCCATATCACTTATTGGACTACAAAACTGTGAAGCATCAATTTTCAAGTAATGAATTTTATAATGTAATTTTATATTGAGCTTACCTCCATGCGTGATCTATTATTGAGTGATTGAGAAGAATTTCCGAGTTGTACATTCCATTGCCATGGGCATTCTTTTCCGTTGGGGCAACGGCACAGTCTTTCCGTTAAGCTTGACATCCAGAACCGGTCGTGGATCGCATTACAGGCTTCGTTAATTGCACAGTAGTGCAAATCACTCTCTCCACCTATCTGTATTAAAATAACCGTATCAAATACTGTCTTGATACATTGTTCGACACATTTTCGTATCTACATACACCATCCAGATATTTGAAAGTAACATTGCTTAATTTACTGTTGATTATAACGTAAGAACTAAAACATTTGATCGTCGCAAGTAGTAGAAAATAAATTAAGATAAACGCCTTCATAGTACAGATATACTTTACTCTGATTAATAGTTTAAGCAGTTGTGTTGCCGAAGGCATTGAAATGAACCTTTTGTACTGATATCAGTAATGAATGTGAGAAACTGATCAATATTTACACCGTGTATTTGCATTTGAAACTGCAATCCATTCTTCTATCAATTTATTCGTTTTTTCAGTCTATGGAAGCTACAAAGGCTTTGTTACGCCACAGCTTGAGGAAAAAATTAGACGCAGCATTGGAATCGGAAACGTATTTACTGATTCAACACTGGTGTTCCACAGAATGTCAAACTGCCGTGAAGGCTTACATAGACGGCAAAGTCCAATAAACATTCAAATGGTAATCATACGTTTTCTCTGTACATTTGTCTCGAATTATTTGTACTTTATATATATGAGAGAAAGTACTGGAAACAGTAATAGTAATAGCAATAGTATTAGTATTAGAAATAGTGATAATAATAATATTAATAACAACAATAATAATAAGTGGGATAATAATTTTGATGGAATATTTCATATAGTGGTAAACAACATTTTATAATGTGTATAGCAATATAGCAAATTGTAAATACATATTTGTCATTTGTTATATATAATTTGTATATGAAATTGTACAATATATTATTTCTTACAAAACTATTGTTTGCAGTCAGTTTTCACATTAACAATAGCACGAAATATATATATATATATATTCAATTGATTTTTCTGGAATATATAGAGCATAAGATGCAAAACTGTTGCAACAGTATACCAAAGTAACAACTTGATTGAAATATATTTAAGGATCATTAGAAAATGCTACAACTTATAAGTTAGAAAGTAATTTCAAAGAAACATAATAAAAATACAATTATGTGCTACAGATACCGAACGATTTGAATGGAAGTACTAGCCACATATTCCAACACTACAACTAGTATTGTAAATTGGGTACGAAGAATAATAACAAGATAATTAATTTGGGAGACATTAAAGTGAGAAAAAGGAATCGTGTCTCTGGTGCGTTAATTAGCATCAATGCGCGATTATTTTTACGATAAAACGAAACGATATCGGATCATTCAATCAGATGAACTATTTTAATATTAGATCATTTAGGCGCATATACTTTCCGCAACATGTTATTCTTGTTAAAATAAAATAAATGACCATTGTAAGTATTGTGGTTAGTTTGTGTTCTTTGCATATACTTTAATTAAAAAGTAATTAATA